TTGGAAGGGACCTCCAAGACCATCCTGTTTTCCCCCCTGCCATGAGCAGAGCCACCTCCCACTGGAGATTCTCACCTCTCAGGTGTCTGCAGAGCTCTGGGCATTGCCTATTGGTTCCTCATGCTGGGAGTTTGTTATTAGCTAGTTCATTAACCATTGTTTTAATTTTTATAGATGATTCTCTGTGTTTTTAGCTGTAAAACAGAGAGAAGTCCTCCAAGGAATAGAAATGCTGGATAGGAAGGGATTTCAAGGGGTTTCGAAGGTGAAAGGAAGATGATCCAGCAGGTCTCTGCTGGGAAAATACCTGATTATCCAAATTGTTGTGTTTGTCTGTGCTCAGGCTGTTTGACCTTGCTGAGCATCTCACCTAGGACAGTGATTGAGGGTTTCCTCTGAGCCATCTCATTAAAAATAATTAGAAATTAAAATAATGAAAATTAGCCAGCAGAAACCAAATAGAGATGAGCCTTGACCCAGTTACATGGAGAGTTTGCTAAAAAGGTTCTCACTTTGCTCCCAAGGAGAGAGGCCCTTTATTTATCCCTTTCTCTTTATTAAAGAAGGGTTAAGCAGAAGCACTGTTAGGAAAAAACAGTGAAGTTAACAACAGGAACAGAAATTATTTGCTGCAAGGTCTTAGGAAAGCCTTCAGAGCTTGTTGTTTTATTTAGTAAGTTCTATTTCCCTTTTCTTTAAGGACTTTGGGGCAGGGGCACTGCTGCCTCAGGATTCCATTTACTAGCATTGCTGCTTAAACATAAAATGAATCATGGAAACTGTAGGGAAGGAAGCTCATTTATGGAATGCTTTTCCTCTTTAAAGTGTGTTTGATTTATCATGATTTGACTTTAAAAACTACTCCATTATGCCCAGGAATTTCAAGGACAACTTGTTTTTTGTTGAGAAAGCTGGAACAGAGGCATGTTCTGGTATTACATTCTGTTAATAAACTGCAGTATGAAATTGGAAGAGGTAAAATAATGGCAAAAATAGTTCTACCAAGGCCCACACACTGACATGGGGCACCTTTCTGCTCTTTGGATTTGAAGTCTTGTGGAAATATTTCCTTCCTAAGTCACCTTTGGGGCTGCAGTTATTCTGCGCTTGTTTAGGTTGAATAAAGCAGTCTTAGTGCTGAGTGCTGAAATAATTTCTGTTGAGGATCATTTAAACAAAATAATGGAGAAAAAAATTGACAGAACTGGAGTGAGTTCTGAAGAGGCCATGGAGATGCTCCAATGGCTGGAGCCCCTCTGCTCTGGAGCCAGGCTGGGAGAGCTGGGGGTGCTCACCTGGAGAAGAGAAGGCTCCAGGGAGAGCTCAGAGCACCTTGCAGGGCCTAAAGGAGCTCCAGGAGAGCTGGAGAGGGACTGGGGACAAGGGATGGAGGGACAGGACACAGGGAGTGTCTTCCCACTGGGAAAGGGGAGATTTGGGTAGGAAATTGGGAAGGAATTTCTGTGAGGGTGGTGATGGCCCCCAGCACAGGGTGCCCAGAGCAGCTGTGGCTGCCCCTGGATCCCTGGAAGTGCCCAAGGCCAGGTTGGATGGGACTTGGAGCAGCCTGGGATGGTGGAAGGTGTCCCTGCCCATGGCAGGGGTGGCATTGGATGGGCTTTAAGGTCCCTTCCCACCCAAACCATTCTGGGATACTCCTAAAAATGGAGCGTCTTTCATGTAACATTACTGAGGACAATTTCCTAAGGGCCACTGCTACTGGTGTTGCTCTTTAGCTTAAGGAACTTATTTTTCCTCCTTGTTAATTTACCCAGGTGTATTTCCAGAGAGCTTCCATTTTCCTTCATTAAATAAGTTCCAACTTCTATCATCTTTATAGGACAGACTCTCCATCCTCCTGATGATAGGAATAACTTTTCTCTGTACCTGGCTCAGTCCAAAGATGTTTTTTCATGTCCCCAGGAATTTCCATCGTCTGTGGCTGGTTCCTGCTTGTGCAACACGCAGTACTTGAGCTTAGGGTTTTTGAAACCATATTGCTGCTTATTGGTAATGTTTTTTGAGGGAAAAAAAGAGGCACCCCCATATATTTACAACATGCCACTTGTCTTAAAGGTTTTTCATTAAAATTATTGTCTCTGAGTTGGAAATTTGTGTCAGACTGCACTTTTAGATTTATCTATTCAGTGTGTGCTAATGGATGTGGTACTGAATCTTTGCCTTTGTTACATTTGTTCCTGCAGAAGAGAAGGGTGAGGTGACAATATCTGAAAAAAGAGATTTGGATAGTGCTGGCATGGTGAAATTATGTAAAATAATCTGTAAACTCTTATCTATACAATGAAACATTTTTCTTCACAAATTGGTGCCATGGGGTAATCCAGAAGTTTCCCACTCCCATCCTGCTTATTTGGGTGTTTTTTCCTTCCCATAGTTCTGGCTCTTGCTCTAATCTCTTCTTTTCACTGAAATTTGTCTCATGGTAAATACTCTTGCTTTACCTGCTCATGCTTGCAATAAATCCTCTGCAAATTGCTGAATTTCACTGGCCAGCCCTGACTTTTATCTGAGACTCCCGAGATCCACACTGGAATGCTGGACATTCCTTTTAAATTCCTTTTAAATGCACTGTACAATATTTTGTTTATCATTCTGGAAATTCAGGTGTCTTTGGTGGAAAACCAACTTTGGGAGAAGTTGTTAACGTGAATATGTGATTTGGCTTGTAATTTTGATAATTTTTTTATTGAATAGAAACTAGAAGTTGGCCTGATTTGGCTGAAGCTTTCACTGTTACACTCAGCAGGAAGAAAATATTATCATGACAACAGATATGAGGGGAAAGCTCATGGAGTTTTTTTAAAAAAATAATGATTATTCTTTTAGTGAGATATATAAAAATTGTCCCTGCTTTGGATTTTTATTTGGATATTTGGTTTTCAGTTGTATTTTTCTCGTCACTGTGGTATGTGGTATAGCAGGGCTACTCCTGAAAACAAATTTGCAGTAGAAGTTTCTATTGTTGAGCTTCTTTGCCCTAATTAAGAGTTTGTTGAGGGGTCCTTCAGTTCTCCAAAGCCTGAACCTCTAGAAAATGATAACATACATCTCTAGAAAAAAAGTTAGAGTTGTTTTTGATATGGCCCTGGAATGCTTATTGTATTCAGTGAAAAAAATGAGAGCAGGGAAAAAAAAAGTAAAAGGCCATATTTCATATAGATAATGCAAACTTTTCTTATCTTCCCACACAGTGTGCTCGTAGGAAACTACAGTGGTATGAAAGATGTGGTTTTCCAGGTTATTTATTTGTTCTGGTAATGCCTGCAAAACAAAAAGCTTTAAAATAAAATAATAGTTAATTTAATTCTTAAAACCCAAACAACCAGAAAATTTTCAATTGTTATGTATTAAAGTAGACCATACAAGGATGAAAGAAATAGTGGGGGAGAGTTCATGCATTAATAATTTTATTTAGACTACCTAAGGCACTGTGAAATGGTGAAGGGGGCACGGAGGTATTTGGTCACAGTATTTGGGCTTGCTGAACTTGGAATTCTTTTCCAAACTGAATGATTCTGTGACAGCAAACCCAGTGTGGTGGCGGATCTCTCCAGGCAGTGAGGAGGGTGAGCTAGGGGCAGCCACACAGCATCTCCCTGTATTTCTCAGTATCTGTTTGGGGGGAGGGATCCTGCCCCTGTGGGCAGCCCTGGAGGCAGCTCTGGAGTGCTGTGTCCAGCTCTGGCTCCTCAGCACAGCAGGGCCAGGGAGCTCCTGGAGCGGGGCCAGCGGAGGCTGCGCAGCTGAGGAAGGGCCTGGAGCATCTGGGTGCCCAGGAAAGGCTGAGGGAGCTGGGGCTGCTCAGCCTGGAGAGGAGCCCCAGCTGAGAGGGGCCCTCAGGCCTGGCTGGCCCTGGCTGCAGGGAGGGCTCCCAGCAGGGCCCAGCCTCTGCTCCGGGGGCCCAGCAATGGCACCAGAGCCACGGGCAGGGCCTGATGGCAGCAATTCCCCCTGGCCAGGAGGCACAACTTCTTCCCTGGCCACTGCCCAGCCCTGAACACATTGGCCACAGAGGCTGTGGGCTCTCCTGCCTGGGGCTGTGGCACAGCTGTGTGCACACAATGCTGTGCCCTGGGAATTCCATCCTTGTCCATATGGATGCTCAGGTTCAGGGAGTGCTGTGCTCTCAGTCCTTCCCCATGGTGCTGAGATGTTTGGCCTTGCAGCTGAACTCCTCAGGGTCAACACGAAGCTGCTGCTGGAGGAAAACCCAGTGTTGTAGAGGTGTCCTTCAGGGGCTTCACCTAACTGGAGATCTGTGAAATGCTTCACTGTTCTCACCTCCCTTTGTCGGCCTAGTCTGTGCTGGGGTAATTAGAGCCTCTAATGAGCTCCAGTGTGGGTCCTTTGAAGTCGACAAATGTGTAATTTTTACCATAAGATGGGAAATAGAATTTCCCTCAGCTTGCTCTTGTCTTTAATTTACAGATGATTTTCTGTTCGGATTTATGTGTAAAAAAATACACCTCAAAAAACAAAATAAACCAGTAATACCTGTGTATTTGTGTCCTATTTTGAGTCCAGAATGTGATTAGAAGGTACCGTTTCAGACAAATGTGGTTTGGCTGGCTGCGCATCAGAGGAGCCTCTTAAGTCTATAAAATCGTGGGCAATCTCAGACAGTCCTGCGTGGTGAATTAGGAAGGAGAATGCTTGTCTCTTTTCTCACTGAGTCAATGAGGCTCTTGGAAAATTTAAAAATAAAATGTCTTCCTAATGAACTTCTATTTCCATGTGCTTTAGAGGGGATAGTGGTTTTCTGCTGTTTAGTGTAGAAAACCTGATTGATCCTAAAAGAGTCATCACATGTTGTGATCATGCTTTTATGTATTTTAAGGCTACACTTATGCATTTGCTAGCTCTGCTTGTGCTGCTTGATATCTTTGAACTTCTTTTTTGAGTAAACCAACAAACTCTTACTTATTTTCTTTCGTTATTCTGCTCTGCTTCCTTTGATGACTCTAAACCTTTGACTCCAGACTGGCAATATGAGGGTAAGATGGCAAAATATGACTTCCTGAACATTGCTCGTCTGCTTTTCATTTGTGTTCTCCTTAGAGTTATTAAAATTCCATTCACTAAGTAGACCCTTTTTGTTGCAATTAAATTCAAATTATGTTTGTTTCTGTTGTGAAACTTTAATTATTATTTATACCTTTTAATCATGCCTTTGTTATTTCTTTGGTTTAAATTACCATCATATTCCCTGTGTCCTGACAGACACTGAGATTCCTGGTGGGATCTCTAGAGCAAGACACAAACAGATTAATTAGTGTAGCCATCCAACTGGATCATGATGACAGCAGTCTTTCCCTGGGAGGGCGGGCAGGCCCTGGCACAGGGTGCCCAGAGCAGCTGTGGCTGCCCCTGGATCCCTGGAAGTGTCCAAGGCAAAGTTGGATGGAGCTTGGAGCAAACTGGGATAGTGGAAGATGTCCCTGCCCATGGTGAGGGGCAGGGAATGAGATGGGCTTTAGGGTCCCTTCCAACCCAAAGTGTTCCAGGATTCTGTGATTTGAGGGCTGTGTGTTCATGACATGTAAAGTAAGAGGAAAAAACATATAACATTTTTGGTGTTCAAGTGTTTTAAATATAGATCATACCTGACATCTTTTGTCATCACATCCTCCCTTGCTTTACAAAGTTTCTCTGAGTAAGGGATAAGCAAACAGCTCTGATTTTGAACCTTTGTGAGTGTAACTTTACTATCATTTGTAGCTCATATCAGCATCACACTTAAGGGAATACTTGCCTTCAGCATGCCAAATATGCTGACTTAAAAAAAATACCCTTACAGCAAAACCCCTGAGATCCTGCTTTTGGAACAAGAAATAACTCTTTTTTTCATCTTTATAGATTGCAAGTTGGCCAGAACAGGTCCTCCAGCCACAATAGTTCCCATTGACGAGGAGAGTCGCAACGGTGAGTGCCCCACAGTTATTTAGAACACAAATTATTTATAACCAGTCTTTAAGGCCCTTGTTGCAAATAGACTTTCTTAATTTTTCTTAAGTCAGTGGGATGGTACCAGAAGGCAAAGTTCTGATCAGTATTTGATTTTGTTCAGGTAGAGCTGAAATTTTACTCTGCATCATGAAAGGTGTGTAAACAATGTGATCTTCTGAATTTCCCACATGGTTTTTGGAAGGCTGCTTGTTGGTTTCCTCAAAGTTTAAGAACATGAATTTATGGACACTTTATTTCATTTCTGAAATGAAAGAACTTGGTTGTAGTAATGGAAATTTCAAAAGAAAATTAATGTCCCTTTTTTTCAATATTTTAATTCTCCTGACAAATCATAGAGTCCTCAGATTGTTGATCTGTGGTCTAAGCATTGCATTTATGCAGAGTCTTATGATGGGGTGAAGTGCTTTACCCTATTACAATCAGCTGTTACTCCTGAGAGTAAGTTACTGCCCTTTCTTGCTTTTTATTCTGTGGGTTTAGGGTTTTGGGTTTTTTTAACCTTGCAAGCTGCGCCTGTTTTTGTGCTGTGTGTGGTTATGGTGTATCAGATGTGGGTGCTTGAGATGGTGAATAAAGCCAGATAATGCTGGTGGAACCTCTCTGCTGTTATTTCAGGAGGAATTCGTTGTTGGAGTTGCTCAAAGTCAGAGGGATAAATGCATTTATAGATAAAACTCCTCAATAAACAAATTGTTAACACACCTGTGTACTGAAAAGCTCTGGTACCGTGGTGGCTGTTAAAACTAGGCTCTTTTCCCTCCGCCTGGGGTGATTTTCCCTGAAGTCGTGAGTGTCCAAAGGAGGGCTACGATGATGGATGTGCTCTTTGAATCAGATGTGCTGGTTCTTGGCAAGTTGCTGTTGTATCCTGATGTGTTCCAGCTTTGGCTTGCTCAGTTTTGGTAGAATGACCCCCTTAGCTGAGATATTTTGGCTGCCAGAGCTTGTGTCTTTTAGCCTTTAATCCTTCCTACTCGTTAGAAATAAATCTGTACTAACAGCAAGGGGTTATAAATTAATCCAAACCAACTTTGCCATCCAAAAAACCCTGTGAAAACCTTTAGAAAGAGAGGTTGAAGTTGTGGACTCCTCATCCCTGCAAGTGTCCAAGGCCAGGCTCAACAGGTCTTGGAGCAGCCTGACCTAGTCAGAGGTGTCTCAGTCCACAGCAAAGGAATTGGAATGAGATGAGCTTTGAGGCCCCTTCCAACCTAACTCAGTCTGTGATGTAAAAGTTAATAATGAATGCATGTTGTTCTACATTTCTAGTGACCAAACTTTATATTGGGATTTCCAAGAGATGCAGAAATAAAAATCCAACTGACTTTGTTCTAGCCTATACAAATATGTCTCTAGCTCACTTAAAGTGTGAAATCCCATCCTTATTTTAGTTCTTGCATGGCACTGTTACTTCCAAGGGTCTGTTGTTGAAGTTGGAATGGCTTTTCTCAGGTTTTGGGATGAAGATCTGAAAACAGTGGCTGGGACTTTTCATTCCATCATTGCATATTGTCATCGTGTTCTGGCAATAAACAGAAAATCCTATTCTTTAGAAATAGATATTTAGTTCCATTGTGCCATGGCACATTGAGCTCAATCATTCCTAATTCACAGGAAGTCAGAGACCAGCAAATCTCACAGAATAAAAACATTTTCTCAAATAACTGTTGCTTGTTTTCATAGTCAGGCACATAGGTACCGTGCCTGACCTTTAAAGATCTTCTTGAGATCAGCAGAGATGTTAAGATTTGACAGTTTCCCGCCATGGGATGAATATCTCTCTATACCAAGTAATTTAGGTACAATAGTAAATTACATTATAATTGTGCTCATGTGAGCAATCCTGGAAGGAGTGAATGTGACCTTTCTTAAGGAATAAATGAATTATTTTATGACTTTTCCCTGTGTTGAACTGAATTGGGTGATAGTGTTTCAGATCATATTAACAGCAAAACTGAATTTTTCTGGATGATTTTTATAGGCAGAGAGTTATTTCCGCCCATGGATTTATTTTTATTTAATTACTGGATTTGAGACTTGTTTTAAAGACTGGATAAGCCTTATTTCTAGGTCAGACTTTCTCATTGCCAGTGTACCCCAAGTTTTTGGAGGCCTACATGTGGAGCCATCTTTGCTTTTTCCTTTCAGATGAACAGCCTGAAATTCTCAAGAGCTTTGAATCTTAGGGCAGGGTTTTTGATGGAAAGTGCGCTATTGGGAAAGGACATTTCCAGTTAGGAATGCTTTGTGTTATTTCCCATCCTAGAAAAATCAGTCAGTGTTGGTGTGGTTAGATTTTATTTTGGTGGGTTTTTTTCTCCCCATTTCCCTTATGATGGTGTGAGTGCTCTAATGAATAATGGGAACAAATCCCAAAACCTCCCGCTCTCTTTCCTCCATGTTCCTTGGGGATGTCTGACACAAGGAAGTGCAGCTTCCATGGCTGTAGGTGGGTGTTATTTTTCCACCTTTTTATCTTCTTATTCTCCCAGCAGTAGCCTTTCATCAGCCTGCCTACCTGGGGAGGCAGAGGATGTGTGATTGTGCTACAAATCCCCTCCCATAACCCCCTGTGGGGAGGGACTCATGGGAAATAGGGCACAAAAATGAAGGAAACAAAGCTGTGGGGTTTTTCCCCCCCTAATTCTGTTGGACCAATTTATTTGCAAGTTTTTTATATTTAATGCTGGAAGAACAGACCTCATTGCTGAGGCACATTGATGATTTCCATGCTGGTCCAAACTGGTTTAACTTGGTTTTCAGGGACAATCGACAAGGATTGAAGAAAGTGTCCCCAGAGCCACAAAATCTGTAGCCTCCCTCCAGAGTTGGTCTTAGGTGTGCTGATGAGGATGGGGAGTGATGCCTCTGAATATTTATTACTGAATTAAAGGTTCAGTGACCACCAGGGCAGGCTGGAATTGAACTAATTAGCCCTAAAGAAGGAAGAGTCCTCCTATCCCAGGCATTTTGGCTAAGGGGAGAAGTTGTTTAGTAAAATCAACTCGGAAGGTTGCTGTGGATGAGCACAGGTGTATCAAGAAATGCATTCCTTAAAAGCTGTGGCTCCATGTTCATTTCCTACTTTTTCCTCCTGTTTCAGGAAGATGAATTAATGGCTTGAAGGTGCTTCAGCCTTGGAGGACTTTTCCACCTCAATGATTCCATTATATTCTTGTATTGCCTTCATGAGCATCTCACTCTTTAATTTTAAATAAAAATATTTTCTCCTATTGCTTCCTATCATTCACAAATCAGCTGTATGAAGGAAAGTCATCAGTTTTACCATTTCAAGGGATTCTGATAACAGCATTTCCCAAGTTTGCAATGCATGTGTAAGTCTAAAAAGACACCAAACTGTGATTTTGTCTTGATTTTTCTTATTTTTCCCATGAAGGCACTTTGAAGACTCTGCATTTTGCTTTTATATGTATTGTAGTGTTTCTATAATTGAAAAAATTCAAATTATTAGTTTATATGTTGTTATCATTCCTGTGAAATGTTTCAAGGGAGAAAGTGCTTCAGTTGATTTTTAATCTAGTTCATGCCATTGTCTTTATGCCTCTCTGCCCACACATAGATTTTCCCCACATGTTTAGACAATCTTACAGCTGCCTAAAGTGTTTATGAATGATTTTGGTCAGCTTTTGATCGTCCTTTTCAAATTTGTCTTCACGAACCCGGGATCTGGTTTGTCTGGCAATGGAGGTGTGGTGTGGTATGCAGATCTAAGGTATTGCAGACAATAAATAAACCTTGGATTTAATCTGGCCACTTGTAGGCAGAGGGTCTAGGGCCAGTCTGGACATTCAGCTCAGGGTGCAGTCGAGGGTGATGATGTGATTTTAGTGATGAGTCTCAGCAGTATTTTGCTGAATCTCTGGGTGATGATGCTGTTCTGTGGTCATTAATTCCAGGTTTGAAATACTAGATTAGCCAGCAGTACAAATCTGAGCTGGATCGGGCCCAGGCCCATAATAACATCTACTCAAATTAGGCCTGACTCTGTGGAGTTTATTCCAGCTTTGTGTTTTTATATAGGAAGAGAGGTGATCCATTAGATCTAATAGCTACCAGATTGAGTAACTTCTGTCAGAAGCTGTTACCCTTGTGGAATGCTCTGGACAAATTCTAACAGAAGGATTGGATTTGTATTGATTCATGTGCCCCATGTGGCTGCTGCTGGGAGCTGAACACTGTACTATGTCACAGGGCTGTGCAGGTCTGCTCCATTGGCTCATCCCTGAGCTCTTTTGGGAGCCTGGAGGTTTCCTGTGGATGTTGCTCTAAAAGGATAAGGACCTGGTAGTGCTGTGGGTGACAGCTGGTCATGGCCTGGCCCCTAGAAGCCCCCCCATGCCCTGGGCTGAGCCCCACCGTGGGCAGCAGGGGAGGGGGGGATTCTGCCCCTCTGTCCCTGTGCTCAGGTGAGACCCCACCTGCAGAGCTGCCCCAGCCCTGGGGCCCAGCACAGGAGGGACCTGGAGCTGCTGGAGAGAGGCCAGGGGATGCCATGGAGCTACCGCTCTGCTCTGGAGCCAGGCTGGGAGAGCTGGGGGTGCTCACCTGGAGAAGAGAAGGCTCCAGGGAGAGCTCAGAGCCACTTCCAGTGCCTAAAGGGGCTCCAGGAGAGCTGGAGAGGGACTGGGGACAAGGGATGGAGGGACAGGACACAGGGAATGGCTTCAGAGTGACAGAGGGGAAATTTAGAATGGATGTTGAGAAGGAATTGTTCCCTGGGAGGGTGGGCAGGCCCTGGCACAGGGTGCCCAGAGCAGCTGTGGCTGCCCCTGGATCCCTGCAAGTGTCCAAGGCCAGGTTGGACTTTGGGGCTTGGAGCAGGTAGTAGAAGTGTGTCCCTGCCATGGCAAGGGTGGAACTAAATTAGCTTTCAGGTGCCTTCCAACCCAGACTTTGTGGTGCTGAGAAGTACTGGCTCTAGGTTTGGATTGTTC